CTCTCTCTCTCTCTCTCTCTCTCTCTCTCTCATGTCTGTCGCACGGATCGATAGATCGACTCTTGAAATCCTCTCGAAAACGAACGTTTCTTTCGAAAGAAAATTCTCATGCACTTGATTCCGTCCTTTTGGAAACATGAATTTGCACGATTCTCGTTATTGAAAGATCTGAATGAAGCATGATAGTTTCCAACTGCACGCAGCTTAGAGGCAAGAGTCGCAAGCAAAAAAAATTCCCTTACCTCGGAATCGGTGATGCCAGTGACACTAGTGGTAGCATCCTCTGCCTCGGTGGTAGTTGGTACTTCAGCAGTGGTAGTTTCTTGCGGTGGTCCGTACTGTTGTTGAGGAACCGCTGGTGCTCCGTACTGCTGTTGAGGTGCGCTAGGTGCTCCATATTGCTGTTGAGGTGCACTAGGTGTTCCATATTGCTGTTGAGGAACCGCTGGTGCTCCGTACTGCTGTTGAGGTGCGCTAGGTGCTCCGTATTGCTGTTGAGGTGCGCTAGGTGCCCCGTATTGTTGCTGAGGAGCAGCAGCAGGTGCCCCGTACTGCTGTTGAGGTGCACTAGGTGCCCCGTATTGTCTCTGAGGTGTTCTCTGGGGAAGATTGAAGGCTGGACCGGCTGGTCTCCAACCGGAAGGTGGGTAAGGTGCGTTGTCCGCGGTGGTGGTTTCTTCTTGTTGCCTGGCGATATAGAATTGTCTCTGCTGCTGCGGACGATACCTCGGTGGCTCTGCCATCACCGTGGCCATCAGCAGGGCGAAAGCGACGTAGACCTTGAAACGGAACGACTTTGAAAGATTTTGAAAAAAGTTAAATGTTACGTTGCCAAGTGTGTGTGTGTGTCTTTGGTTTCTTCAAAGAAATAGAAACGTAGAACAAGTACCTTCATTGTGGCGCTAGTGTGTTGCTCGGTGAAGCTGTCGAGTTGACTGATTCCCGAAGTCGACGGGCTGGATTATATATACAGTGAGGCTCGTATGCGTGCTGCATGTTTAAAAAGAATTATACCGCCGGCTCGTCGGCCGTCAAGCGACATTGACCTCCTAAAACACTGATGAATCCTCGATCGTTGTTGGCTCACCATCCGGTCGCGTCGTACCTTTGCTTTTTCGGTTTACCTCGAGACTCGTTGATACATCGTCCTTTCTCGAGTTGGGTTCTTGTTTCTGTCGTAGTGAAAATTAAATTCAACTTAACTGTTAACATTCACTCTTCTCTCTGCAGTGCTGATTGAATTTTTAGAAAGTTACGTACGCGTAATATATTGTACGAAATTTCCACGACGATTGATCGAATATTACTCAGGGTACCCGTAAAAGTGATTGGTCGTTCTCTTCGAATTTAATAATAAACATTTAGTCATCTAGTGAACAATAATTTAAACGTTACTCGATGGATCATAATAATATCTAATGTATTATATTGTGATAGCGAGTCGGCATCGGTTATGTGACGATTACGTGTCGATTTAATATTAAACCAGACAACGAATCGATGACGGCACGCCGTAGTCTCCATCCTAATTGATTCCTCGCACGCAGCACGCGTGACTGCGATGATTTTGCGCGCTAATGAATTCAGCGGTGTACTCGATCCTCGAGCACATCATTCGGAGAAAAGGAGGATGCAGAGGACGTGCACGGTGATATCAGGGCCGAGCGCGCGCGTCCATCCTTCGGAATTTATAATGACAGATACAATTCTGTCAGCGGCTGATTCGTGATTCACGCGACAGAATCTCGTGGCCTCTGCAAATTTCCAACGCCATCGGACGTTTCAATTTGCTCGAATCTCAATCCCTGGGACAGAGAATTATCTTAGTATCGATTGGCCAGAATTTTAAGACGAAGCAATTAATCAAGAGTCGACAAACATTATTGTTAGATTTTGTTGTCAAGTGTCAGAGTAATATATTCGATATATACGTTAAAATATCGATCATTTCCCTCGCTTTCTGTCGTTACGAGTGAGGCGGGCCTCGTGTTCTCGGCGAAATATTTAACATGAAATCGTCCAAAAGTAGGAATGGGTAAACCGTGACTCGCGGAAT